TTTCTTTCCCCTTCAACTATAATAGACATTTTGGTTGGGAATAGCAATCTGGGTTGGTATCTCTGGTCATTTTAATCTGGGAATGCTTTGGTCCAGGCTCTTCTGGCTTTCATAGTTTGCACTGAAAAGTGACCTGTAATCCTTATGGGTTTTCCTTTATATGTGACTTGTTTCTCTTTTGCAGCTTTCAAATTTTCTCTTTGTTTTGTGCGTGTATTGTTTTTACTACGATGTGCCGTGGAGAGTTTCTGCTATGTGATGAGGTAGCAATTAAGGAACAAACACTACAGTAAAACACAAACAACAAATGGATGATGTCTTCATCATCCCTGAAACCATCTGGAATATATCATTAATCATCTAGGCTTACTAAACATGGATTCCATTTCTTCCCCCAGATTTTCAATATAGAAAGTTTTAAGCATACAAGGAAGTGGAGAGGACTCTCATGTGCCTGACACAGAGCTTCAACACTTGTGTGTAAAAGGCCAAGCTTAGCTTATTTCTATCCCATCTCTCTGACCCAGCCTTCTGTTTATGTTATTTTGAAGCAAGCTCGAAGAGTTTAAATTATTTTTTTAAAAACTGAAAACATCATTATTTGTGCACAATGTCTATTGTAATCTTAGTATGAGTTATCATAAATGCAGAGAAAGGTAGGATGAATGGGTAATAGGAAACTTAGAAACTGTTTCACAGAGTGAAATTTCACTAGTGCCTCTCTGGTTTTCCAGGGTCAAACTCAATGTTCTCTTGGGAAGACTCAAAGCAATTGTGAGTTAGTTTGAGTTTTCTGCCAGCAAAGTCTACATTAGGAACCTGCTACTAAATTTCCTCTCAGGTTTTTTCAAAATTCCCTATTAAAGCTGTCCTTGATGTCAAGGAAGGAATGTCTTCAGTACAGGGGTGAGGGTACACCACTGACCTCTGCAGTAGCCTAAAGAGTTCCTTTTCCCCTTAGGGATACACACACATTTACAAAACCAGAATTCCTGGCTTCAAAAAACTTTTATTTCACGCTAAGCAAACAAGAACAGATTTGGAGATTTATTAAGAGACATTTTTTAACTTGAATCTTGAACATAGGCATTACTAGAGAGACTGAGGGAAAGAATAAGGTATCTGTTAAGGAGGGTAGAACACATTTTTGGAAAACAAGCTGACTTGGAATTACCTTTCAAAAATTAGCTTTATTAGGACAGAGCAGGCCAGTGTCCAGGGGATGGGGTCTTGATTGGACCTAGAAGTAGGAGAACATGAGCCACAGACGTCATACAAGAGGCAGCATGGTAGGACTGTGAGTTTAGAGAGCATTTACAGACAGCATATTACATTAGAAGAGTTAGCTTAAAGTTAGAGACTAAGATAGCCACAGGGCTTGGGCAGATGTCAAGGCTGGTTTTAGTTGTCAACTTGATATACCTGGAAAGGGGGAACCTCAGTTATAGAATTTCCTCTATCTGATTGGCCCGTGGACATGTCTGTGAGGCATTTTCTTGATTGTTGAGCCATGTGGGAGGGTCTAGCCCTCTGTGGGTCCTGCCACTCCTGGGTAGGTAGTCCTGGGCTGTATAAGAAAGCAAGCTGAACACAGGCCAGGGAGTCTGCCAGCCAGCAGCTGTTCTGTGGTGTGCTTTATCTCCTGCCTTCAGGGTCCTGTCCTGAGTTCTGGCCTCAGCTTTCCTTGATAATGGTCTATGAACTGTAAGCCAAACAAATCCTTTCCTCCCCAAGTTGGTTTTGCTCAGCGTTTTATCATAGCAACGGAAGGCGAGCTAGGACAGCAGGAGCGTCTCAGCCAAAAAGACAGTAGCAACAAGAGTCAGAAAACTCTTAACTTGTATAACACTTCCTGGAAGGTGAGAAGCCCGGCGGTAGCTAAAAACCAGTTTTCAGGGCAGGCATCAGAGTTGTTCATTTGGAGCAGCAGAGATGAGCAATCACATTTATTTTTATTGTTTTTGTTATGTTTAAATTTATGTTATGTCTGTAGGAGAGAGGTCCTAGAATAGCATGGGGTGGGACTTGGGAGCTTGGTTTTTATGCCTTGATTTTTCCAGGCTATGGATCTTGTCTTAAAATGGCATGCCCTTGACCTACAATGCTCAAACATGGTGTGGGCTTCTAACAGGAGACTCTTGATTAGGTGTCTTTACAATGAGTATATATATACTATTTTGGTAGCTCTAAAGTTATTCTCTAAAGGTTGGTAAGACCCTCCACTCCTTTTGTCAATGCACAAAGAGTATAGTTTACCATAACATTATACATTTACAGCATTTCCTTTTGTACATAAAGATATAAAATTGATTGGTGAGGGCTATTATTTTGATTTAGGTCTGAGAGGAGAATGTGAAAAAAATCAAGGCTGTACATTATTTTGGCACCAATTAAGCATAGTTTATTGTCTTTGGCATCTGTTTTAGATGTGCTTGTGAAAACATTGTCTCTAAGCAATTTTGGTTTTATCAACAGAGGCTGAAGTTTCCTGGCTCCATCAGCAGGACAGGCAAACCAGACCCATGATGAAGGGTCTGCTTGCCTTCCCATGCTTTCCTTCTGTGTCCCCATAATTTTCCTTGTCTTTCCATCTGGCCTGAAGAGGTTAACTATAGCCTGCATGGCAGATAAACCTGAATCTGCTGTTTGAAATTTAGTGCTTTATTGAACAACTATAAGAACATACCTAGGCGTATGTTCCATTTCCATGAAGACAGGAGATTTAACATTTGGATGTAGCACAGTGATGGAAGTAGTTTCCTTCTGCATGGAAAGTCACAACAGTGTGTAGCACCCTCCAGGCTCATCAGCCACAGGGTCTCAGGATTCCTTTGAGTCTCATAGCAATGAATCCTCAGTTCAGAGTTAATAAAAATATATGGGAAAGAAGCCAAAAGTACCTGACCCACTGGATATAGGAGCAGAGGTGAGATGAGCAAGGAGTCATGTAGGCTCTGGCTCCCCCGAGGCTATCTACTCAGCTGAGGTCCTGGGATCCCACTGGCTGCTCCTCCCAGTCTAGACTTCCATATAAGCCTTTCTTGTTGAGGCTGAGCCCTGAGTGCACTATCCTGCTCTCTGATCCTCTCTGGTCCTAGGATCCCACTGCAATGGGAAAGCACTTCCTGCTGCTCCTGCTGGGCCTCTCCTTGCTGGTGGGCTTCCTACAAGGTGAGATTTTGGTAGGTGATAGGAGCTGGTGTTGATGGGCAGACACACTGTCATAGATTGTTGGGCTTTGGTGAGGCTAGGAGCAGGAGTTAGGAACCAACTACTGTTAGAAGTGATCCCTATACCCTTCAACCCCATATCCCCAGTTCTTTCTCCCTTCCCTCTGCTGTGCCCAGGCGTCTAAACTGCTTCTTCCTTCTCAATCTGGTCCTGGTCCTGGTACTTTTCCTCCTGTTCCTTGTCTTCCTCCTCTGTTCTCTTTCGTACTCAAACATTCTCAGTTCCTCCAGCTCAGTTGCTGTTGGCATAAATTTGGGTCGGAAATGAACAAGGAAGATTCTTGACCAGATGAAATGATAAGAAGTTGTTTGATCATGGGTGGAAGGCTCAGGTGTCCTGTATCAGAGCTTTATCTTCTTCCTCACAGCCTTGTCCATTCCCAGAATTTGTAGTGGGGGAACCTTTTGCTCTCCTCAAACCATTCCTTCTTAGGGTCCAAGGTCATGGACTTCTATTCAGGGGTCAGCTTAGCATGCATTTAGTTCCTTCTATCTGTTGTGTGTTATTCACTGATCAGAGCCAGACGCTCAGCTCCGGCCTGATGCTTGAAGCTGAGTCCCAGGTGAGCCTCTTAACACTTGCTTTTGCCTTTCAGCTCTGACATGTCTCCAGTGTGACTTTTTCAACTCTGAGGGTATTTGTGAGAAAGAGGAAAGGTCCTGTGAGATTAAAAGTGGCCATCAATGTATCACAATGATAATCTCTAAAGGTATGTAAAGCATGAGAGGTATCATGCTTGTCCTTGAGGGATGTGGCTCTTTCCACAACCCTGGGGGTGCAAACATTGAGTGTGGGAGGATGTGTTTTCCTATGAAAGTAGGAAGAGGTTCCTTTGCTTCTGATACTTTGCTGACATTGGCTCTTGGTCAACAATCTATTAAGAAAAAAGAATCACATTATTTTTTGAAGGGTCTTCTTCAGCACTTAGTGGCCGTGTAGGTGAACATACTCAGAGAGAAAAGAATCTCTCTTCAGTTCCACTCAGTTATTTTGGGAATGGGGTATCTGCCTTTGGGCCAGATTGTTTGTTGTAGGATGATGGCCTAGAGGTTCTCTAAGTTATCTCAGTGTGCCTGACATATCTTTCACCTGGGTACCTGACTCTCCTTGTTGATTGAATCACTGATTCCACAAATATCTAAAATTTGACTCTTATCCTTCTTCTCCAGATAACCAGATGCTGTATGGGGTCCAAGACTGTACTAACACGTGCGTCAATAGTACCAACACTGTAAATTCTGTGACAGTGGAAGTTATATGTTGCAGTGACCAATCTTTCTGCAACAGACTTTAGAGGCCAGACCCTGTTCTACTTAGGTGAGACCTTAACCCTTTCCTGTACTTAGCCCCACAACACTGGGTCATCTATTCCCAACATTACCCGGGAATAGAGAGATGCTCTATGACTTCTGCAACCCTTGGTACTCACCCTTACTAGGATTCTGGTTTCCCCCTTTTCTCCCACTATTCCTCTAGTGTTGACTGAGATAGAGCGTTTCTCCATCCTGTTTTCATTCTTACCTTTATTCAACAAATGTGTCCTGGCTGAACACCATGAATACTACAAACCCAACACCTTCCCTTGATGAAGCTTTGGTTTAGTGATGCCTTTTTCTGCAGGCTGGCCTGCAGACAATAGTGCCAGCATCTTATTTGTTACTTATTCATAGAACACAGGACATGTGTTAGACAGTTTTTTCTCACTGTGACCTGAGTAAAACAACAAAAGGGAGGAAGGATTTATTTTAGCTCATGATTTCAGAGGTTTCCTCCATCATGGTGGGCAGGACATAGTGAAGCAAATCTGTTCCACTCATGGTATGCAGATAGCATAGCTGAGCAATAGGAAGGGACAAGGACCAATACAACCCACGAGGACACATCCCCAGTGACCTGCAACTCCACCTTCCATATTTCTATTATCTTTAGTCAGTCCCAATTTTGAATGTATTAATAGATAAAACCATTTACTAGGTCAGAGATCTAATATCCTAATCATCTCTGGAAATATCTTCACAGATACACCTAGAGATGTGCTTGACAAATGTCTTAGACATCCGCAATACCATCAAGTGAATAGTTAAGTTAGCCATCCCAGGGCTGAAGGTACTCCTTCACCACAGTGTCCATTTCCATTTTATGTATGTGTATACTCTGTTTCATTATCTTTTTTGGAAAGATTCCCCTCGATAGCTTCATTTCTAGTTTCATAGTTTTTGAAGTTGGTGGTGTCTCATATTTTTATTTTTATATTTTTTCTAGTAGGTTAAATGTTCAACCTAGAAACTGTAGACAGTGCTGTACAGGGGAGACACTGCTGGTCATCCCATCCTGCCCTGCAGAGATACAGCTTGTTGACATGTTTAAACATATACTTCTAGAATCATTACTAGGCCATGATAAGTGCTTGTATGTATTTGAATACTAATACTTACATACTTAAAAATACTAACAATCATTATTATCTTAAAAATTTATTTATTTATTATTTTTATTTTATGTGTATGTGTGTATTGCCTGCATGTAGGTAAGTGTACCCATGTCGTGCAATGCCCGCGGAGGTCAGAAGAGGCTGTCAGATCCCCTGGAACTGGAGTTATGGACAGTTGTTAGCCACCGTGTGGGTGTTGTATTCAAACCCAGGTCTTCTGCAAGAAGAACCAGTGTTCTTAACCGCTGAGCCATCTGTCCAGCCCCTTATTACCTTTTTGTTTCAGAGCTGTTCACTGAATCATGGCCCTGGAGCATACCAGCAGTCATTCTACTACTAGACTATGTCTCAGCCTATATCCTGCTTTTACATAACACATCTTAGATGTTGTTCCTATTTTGCATGTTTGTATTCTGTAATTCATTAAATGCCTTATAAAATTTGTTTCACTAATTTAGTATGGCTGTATAGAGTATAATTTAATTTTTAGAGTATAATTTAATTTTTTCATTTATTTATTTATTTATTTATTTATTATTTATTTGTTCATTTAATTTATTTTGTGTGTTTTGTGTGTGTGAACCTGTATGTGCCAAGATGCATGTGTAAAGATCAGAGGTGTAATTCCAGGAGTCAGACCTCTCTGTCCATGATGTTGGTTCTAAGGATTGAACTCAGTGGTCAGGCTTGTTGGTCAGGACACTTGCCTAGTAAGTCTTCTCATTGTCTCTCAAATTTTATATTTAGGCAATTAGGGTGTGTGTGAAATGGCTCAATGGATAAACATGCTTGTCACCAGGCCTGATGACCTGAGTTCAATCCCTGGACCCACATGGTAGAAGGAGAGAACTGACTTATACAAAATGTCCTTTGACTTCTACACACCTAATATGGCACATACATGCCCATGCAGGTACACACACACACACACACACACACACACACACACACACACACACGCACTTATCCTAGTCTTCTTTGTGTTGCTATGATAAAATGCTGACCAGAACCAAATTGGAGAGGAAAGGGGTTAATTTCATCTTATATCTCCCAGGTTACAATCCAACATTGAGAGAAGTCAGGGCAGGAGTTCAATCAGGAACACAGGACTGAAGCACAGACCATGGAGGAATGCTGCTTGCTTTCCTCTGGCCTGTGCTCACCTTTCTTATACAACTCAGGACCACCTGCCCAGGGGTGGCACCACCCATAGTGGACTAGGCCCTCCCACTTCACTCAACAATCAAAAAAATGCCTGTAGACATGACCACAGGCCAATTGGATAGAAGAAATTCCTCTATTGAGGTTAGTTCCTCTCCCTTTGGTGTGTCAAGTTGACAACCAAAGCCAACCATAACATATGAAACAAATGTAAAAAATGAAATTATGTAATTATAATATCATTAATATGCAGTAAATTTAATTGTGTCACATTCTACAATTTAGCAAGCACATACCTTCTGCCAACTAAACATACTCAAGATTCAGAATAGTCTGTCGAAGCATCTTTCAATATATACATATACAGTATCAAAGGCGTTTAAATGTAGTAATCCCTATAACAGGGGTTCCATGGTCCTAATAGACACCTCAGGCTAAAAAATGTAAAACTCAATGCCAGGAGTGGACTCCCTCTTTTGCGGCTGTTGACCAGAGAGATCCCATAGACCCTCAAACAGACTATTGCCATTGCACTTGGTTACCCACCAGAACTTGAAAGTAAGACCCTGTTGCTGAAGATACTACAAACAAGGAGAAATCAAACTGGTACACGCTTTAAAGCTTCATCTCTGTTGGATAGCTTTCATTGTACTAGAAGATGCTGTACAAGTACAGGTAAATAAAGGCAATCATCAACCTTACCCAGCAGTGAACACTGTGAACTATAATAATAACTGGCTTGGTAAAATATACCCACTGGTGAAACAGCGGCATGAATATTATGAGAAAAACCAACAATTTTCTGATTGTATTTAAAGTCTGCTTCCCAAGATGGAGCCCATATCTGACACTGTTATCAGAGTCAACAGCCTGTGACTGGACAGGTCACTGATCATAGGGGAGAACCTACTACTATAATATTATATCTGCCAAATAGATATAATATTAAACTGACTCATACTGGCATATTGTTATACCTGTAGATTAGTGCATCTCTCAGTTCTTACCAAGGAAGGTTTTTCTTACAGCAGATGGTGACCAACACAGAGACCTACAACTGACCAATGAAAGAGAACAAGAGACTGTGGAGTCCTTAGCCCTAAGTGGGACACCTGTATCACTCCCTCTCCTCCCAGGACTCAGGAATCATTGTGGGAGAGGGGGCAAGAAGATTGTAAGAACCAGAGGTGGTAGATGAATACAAGGAAACTGTGTTGTCTGGACACCACAAAGTAGTGGCATATATGAACCCACAGAATTTATGACAGCAGGCATAAAACCTGTGCAACCCAAGCCAGATAGGGGTCCAGCATCAATTAAGGAGGTGGGCAAGAAGCCACAGTCCTAGCTGGAGATCTATTGGCAACTGACAGATGCTGGGAAAAGGGTGAGTCAGTTTTCCTTACTGGTGTGACACCTGGTAGATTGACCAGACTCCAAGAGATATACATACCCAAGAGAACTTGGGAAACACAGATTTGATTCAATAGGTCTTTATAAAAAAGATAATACTAATAGAGGACATGATATTGGGGGTGGGGTTACTAAGGTGGGGGTAGTAAAAGGAGAGAGGGTCTATGACAAAAATATATGAACTTCTCAAATCAATAAAAATATTTTAAAAATTCAGAATATTTGCATTATCACCAGAAAATCTCTTGTTCCTTTACCACCATGAAACCATACTCTCACTGTCGGCTTCTCCCAACTGCTACCCTTAGCTTTTTTTATATCCTTGGATGCATAAAACAGATGACACCTTCCTTTTTGTTATCCTTCATGATTTCTTTTTCTTTTTCATTTTTTGATGAGGACTGAACACATAGTTTTGTGCTTGCTGGGCAAGTGCTCTACCACTGAACTAAATTCCAAACACATCTAGAGATGTGTTGTTTGTTTATGGTACTTGGGATCTAATGCAGAGCCCGTAAATGCTAGGCAAGCATTCTTCCACTGAGCTGCATTTCCAGCACAATAGATGGAATTTTGTGTCTATATTATTTCATGAGGCAAATGCCATCTAGATTTACATAAGTGCTTGCATGAATATGTATTTTTTTTTATTCCTGAGTAGTATTTGATTGGATGATTAGAACATGATTCACCCATTTACTGTTTCATGAATATTTGGGTAGTTTTAAGTGATCTGTGATTATGAAAAAAACTTCTATAAATATTTATGTATATAAGATGTACCCTAACTTACAATGGTGCAATTTTATTTTTTGACTTCCTTAAAAATATTTTTGAATTTTTGTAATTTTCATACAATATAATTTGATGGTTTAGATCCTCTCCTCTATCTGCACCACCCCTTACCGCCCCCCCTCATTTAATGTACTCTATTACATATCATACGGCTTATTGAGTCTGATTTGTATCCCCAAATGTCCTTCAGTGTGGGTCCATCCACTGGAGCCTGGTTAATCTATGAAGAGTCCCATCCCTGTAAGAGATTCTCTTTCCCTCTCCCAGCAGCCATCAGCTGCCAAAAGTTCCTTGGGCTGGGTTGGGGATTCTTACTCATTTCCCTGTGTCTATGCTGGGTTTTGTCTGGTTTGAGCTTGCATGAAACTTGTACATGCTGTCACAATTGCTGTGAGTTCATATGTGTAACTAATCAGCTTTGTGGAAAACTGTTTGCCTGTGGTTAATCTCTGGCTCTTAAACTCTTTCCACCCCCTCTTCCTCAATGATCCCTGAGCCTTGGGAGGCAGAAGTTGAAATAGGTGTCCTATTCAGGGATAAGCACTCTGCAACCTCTTGTTCTCTACATGTTGGCCAGTTGTGGGTTTCTGTGTCAACCACCATCTGCTGCATAAGGAAACTTATCTGGTAAGAGTTGAGAGACGTATTCATCTTATGCATAGAGGTTGCATTGAAGATGTGTCACTTAGGGCTAAGTGTATCACAGACACAATCTCTGCATTTGATCAGTTGTGGAACTCTGTGTTAGTCGCCATCTGTTGCAAAAAGAAGCTTTTTTGATGACTGGTGAGAGGTACATTTGTCTGTAAATATGGAGATACATATTTAGAATATAGTAAGAAATAATGTTGGTCTAGAGGTGTAGCAAAATAGTTTTTTCTCTAGGATCTATGACCACTAGCTATATGTATATTTGGCTAAGTTTTTAGTGCCACATATAAATTCCCTCCCATTAAGCAGGCCTTAATTCCAATAAGATAGCTGTTAATTACCCTCAAGATAAAAGTGCCTCTCCTGAGCCAATAGTTGTAGTTTGCTGGGTCAGTCATTGTTAGTTTTTTAAAAAATTATTTATTTAATAACCACACAATCAGAAGAAGCATTTCATTACAACAGCATTGACATATTCAATAATAATTTCCAGAGCTAAGATTGCATCTCCTTCAAAATTGGCTGTAATTTTTTAGGTTTACAGTTGAATTAATACAGTTATACAATACTGTATTCTGTATAAACCCTATAAGACATAAAATTAAATGAGATTTTAAACTTTAAAAAAGATCTCCATTTCACTATTAAAAATATAGTTTCATACAGAAAAATTCATTTTTAATGCTACTAATGGTTAGATGTTTGCACATGTGTCTCTAATCTCTGTGCATCTGATTATTACTAGTCACAGGTGGTTACACTTGGATCCTTGTCACTTGAATGTGGATATAAAGTCATCGGGTAGATTTCAGTGGTAATGTTTTCCACTTCTACTAATTAACATGAAGCAAATTTTTATACTTCTTCCTCAAATATAACCCATTTTTTAAATTTGTTGATTTTTCTGTGTGTATTTCATACAGAACATCCCAAACAATCTTATTCATCTATACACCCACTTCCCAAATGGCACCCTCCCATAGCCTCCCCCCACTGGAGCCCATATACTCTGTCATCCCTGTTGCTGTCCACTGTGTTGTCGGCGCCCCTGGCCATTCCCCAGTTCTTGTCCATCCGCTGAATCTAGTCAGCCCATCTAGAGTTCCTTGTTTTAGGAAGATCAGCTCTTCCTCATCTAGGAGTAATCAGTTGTCAATATTCCTTTAGATAAGATTGGGGTCTGCTGTTGATTTTCCCAGTTCTATGCTGTGTTACTATCTGGGAATCCCTTTGGCCACCCTGGCCACCAATTCAAAAGAAGATAGCTCCTATCTGGGAT